TGAAGATGCTGGCTAGGAGTCGTGTGGGTTGTGCAGTACTGAACGCCACAGTCTCCCCAGGTCCTGCCCCCCACTGTCCCCTCGCCCTGCTTCGGTTCCTTCCTGCTGTTACTGTGTTTTCTGCTGGCTCCTTCTCTGCTCACTACTTTCTGTTGGCACGGGGTGTTTGATCTTCGTGTTTTCTTGCTGATCCCTTGCTCTCCTTCAATTTCTCTCTCTTCCCCCCTGGCCTGTTGAGATGATTAGCCAGGCTGTTTGACATTTTCACTTAGAACGTTTTAGTTTAACTGCTGTTGGCTAAATATATTTTGACCTCAGCCATGGACTGTGACTTTCTACCCAGCCAGGGAGGCCAAGAAAGCCTCGTGCCAAAACCATCTCTCTCTTTCTTTGGGGCTCAGATTGTCCTTGGCAGGTTGGAGAGGAGCCCTCATATTCTGCGGATTGTTTTGCAACCTAATTCAGATAATGGGTTTGGCTGCTGGGATGCCCAGGTGTGTGGATTCGTCGGCCATACAGGCGTCTTCCTTGACACACAAAGCTGGCCTGTGATGTGTCTGGCTCTGGTGCCATCTTTCTTTATAACTCCCAGAAGGCAATTTATGTAGTTCTTTTGTACCCCAGAGTGACTTGGACAAGCTTTGAGTAGACACAGACTCTGACGGCTTATTAAATATTGGACTGAGAGCAAAGGAAAAGACAGTCAAGGCATTAGCAAGCCTCCAACAGAAGGATTTTTGGAGGCCACAGAAGGCGTTTATAGACAAGACTCCCACCTCGAATTCCAGGCAGATAGGGTGCTCTGGACAAAACCCTTCACCCACCAGGCTTGATCCAGGTAGGCCATGTGACTTCATTCCCCACCCAGACTTGCCACGACCAGTTCATGGTGGGTCCGGGTAAGAAAGAGGGGAGGACAGAATGACTCCGAGCAGAGGATCTGGGGCATGTGAACTAGTGCCTCAAGATGTTTACCTCTGAATTTGTGATGGATATCTCAAAGACGATGTAGATATGGTCTCTTCATTCATTTACTAATTTGTTAATTCATTTATCATGCGTTTATGGAAGATCTGTAATATATGTGGCAGACACTGAGGCCAGCCCTGGGAATGCAGAGCAGAACAGGACAGAGTAATAAGTCTAGAGGGGAAGACAGTGATCAAATTATTACGAATCGCACGAGAGTCTCACAGGAGAAGAATAGGGGGCCGGGCGCAGCGGCTCATGTCTGTAAACCCAGCACTTTGTGAGGCTGAGGCGGGTCATCTTTACTAAAAATAAACAATTAGCCGGGCGTTGTAGTGCATGCCTCTAATCCCAGCTACTTGGGAGGCTGAGGCAGGAGAATTGCTTGAACCCAGGAGGTGAAGGTTGCAGTAAGCCGAGGTCGCACCATTGCACTCCAACCTGGGCAACAAGAGCAAAACTCCATCTGAAAAAAAAAAAAAAGAATAGGGAATAATAGGGGCATTTAATAGGAGAGCTAACACAAGCTAGAGTGGGGGAAGCATGGAAGGCACCCTTGATGCAGTGACTTTTAATCTGGTGTGTAAGGTGTACGTCGATGCAGGGACTTTTAATCTGGTGTGTAAGGTGTATGTCGATGCAGGGACTTTTAATCTGGTGTGTAAGGTGTATGTCGACGCAGGGACTTTTAATCTGGTGTGTAAGATGTATGTCGATGCAGTGACTTTTAATCTGGTGTGTAAGGTCTATGTCGAAAGTATGTAGGGTGAAGAGATAAGAGAGGTGTGTTTCAGGTAGTGGCAACTGGACGTGCAAACTCAGTGGCAACCTGCCCTGAGGCAAGAGAGGAGGATGTAAAGTAAAGAAGGATGGCGGGGCCAGGAGCAGTGGCTCACACCTGCAATCCCAGCACTTTGGGAGGCCGAGGCTGGTGGATCATGAGGTCAGGAGTTTGAGGCCAGCCTGGCCAACATGGTGAAACCCTGTTTCTAATAAAGATACAAAAAGTTAGCCAGGCATGGTGGCACACACCTGTAATCCCAGCTACTTGGGAGGATGAGACAGATAATTGCTTGAACCCGGGAGGCGGAGTTTGCAGTGAGCTGAGATCGTGCCATTGCACTCCAGTCTGAGTGACAGGGCTAGACGGTCTCAAAGAAAAAAAAAAAAAAAGAAGGATGGTTGGAACTGAGAGAACTTCAAGGAATGAGGGTGGCAAAAGGTGCGGCCAGAGAGATAGGTGGGGGCTGGATTCGGGAATGCACTAGAAGCTACATAAAGGACTGGGGGCTTTATGCAAAGGTCTCTGCGAAGCCATGGAATCATTTTAAGCAGGAGTGTAACATGATCAGGTCCGTGTTTTAAAAGATCACTCTGGCTATTGTTCAAGGAAGGCTCATGGGGCAGGAGTGGAAGCAGGGGGCACATTTTGAAGGCTGATCAGATGAGGATGGCTTGACTTGGAGAAGTACCAGTGAAGATGGAGGAGCTGGAGGTGTTTGTGATCTATTTCCCAGGGGTGTTGCAGACAGGACCTGTTGATGGATTGTGTGAAGGGTGGGTGGTCAGGGAAGGAAGGCACCTTTAAGCAGAGACCTGGGGGGATTGAGGGAGTGAACCATGTGGGTATGATGTGTGGGGCAAATGCTTTCAGGGGAGCGCACAGCAAGTGTGAAAACAGAAAGGGGAGATGTGTTAGTCCATTTTGTGCTTCTATGAAGGAATACCTGAGGCTGGGTAACTTACAAAGAAAACAGATCTGTTTGTTTCATGGTTCTGAAGGCTGTCCAAGAAGCATGGCACCAGCATCTGCTTTTGGTGAGGGCATCAGGCTGCTTCCACTCATGGTGGAAGGGGAAGGAGAGTTTTTCATGCTGCTGTTAAAGACACACCCAAGACTTGGTAATTTATAAAGAAAAAGAGGTTTAGTGGACTCACAGTTCCATGTGGGGCCTGGGGAGGTCTCACAATCAGGGTGGAAGACTGACAGGCATGTCTTACATGGTGACAGATAAGAAAGAGTGAGAGCCAAGTGCAAAGGGAAACGCTTTATAAAGCTATCAGATCTCGTGAGACTTACTATCATGAGAACAGTATGAGGGAAACCAACCCCTGATCCAATTATCTCCTACCAGTTTCCTCTCACAACACATGATAATTATGGGAGCTACAATTCAAGATGAGATTTGGGTGGGGGCACAGCCAAACTGTATTAGAGAGCCAGATTTCACATGAGAGGGAGCAAGAGAGAGGGGAGGGGTGCCATGCCCTTAGCTCTCCTGTGAATTAAGAGGTGGGACTGAAAGCCTGAATAGAGGAAGTTCAAAGAGACTAGGTTAGAGCAAGATGCCAGCCAGCAGCTACGGGGACAGTGTCCAGGCTGAGGAGCAGGGCTGGCAATCCAGGCAGGGTCTCTCTCTCTGTCCACAGCCAAGCGATTTGGGGAGCACAGCAGAACTTCAGACCCCAGCAGGAGAATCCGAAGTATAAAAAATACAACTTAGAATGAGGAAAAGTCTAGAACATCAACCTGGAGAGCCAGATGGGGAGGAAAGCCACAGTTTGGAGTAAACTCTGGTGTCAGGCTCAGGGCAGTAAGACTGATTACAGAGTTGGTGGGGAGAGGACTTAGCCTACATCACTGGGTTCGGATGGGCTGGCCAGAACAGGAGGGGAATGGAACAAGCCATAGAGGTCTTCCATGCCCACAGCTGAGCAGGGCAGTGGTTCTCGACCCTGACTGCACATTTCAGTCATCTGGGAAGCTTTTCAAAAAATACAGTGTCTGGCCCCCCTCCCCCAAAGCATCCCTGTTCATTTTTCTCGAATGGGGCTGGTCCCGTTTTCAGATGACGGTGTTGTGCAGGCAATGCTGAGAACCGCTGTTCTCCACTTCAGCTTATTCCTGAGTTTGGGACCGAGCCAGTGTGGGAGGCACCTTGAGATAACAAGGGCTATAGAGATAGTCAGCCCTGGCATCCGAGGGCAATGACTGCTGTAAGCACTGAGAGAATTTGTTGACTTTCCCCAGAACAATCCTTATAACACTGACCGAAATGAACACCCTGATTAATTATGCAGGTTTATAGCTCCCCAGAGGCTGCAGAAAAACATCATTTGGCACCAGAAACAAACTTTATTCTGGCAGTGCAGGATAATTTTACAAACATTAGATACTGAATTGTGCAGACGTCTCTGGAATTTCAATGTACTACATCCATAGAATGCAGAAAAACAAGGTCAGGGCCAATTTCTCACGCTGCCACCTGGACCAAGCACGTCCAGGAATCCTCTGGGGTCTCAGCACTCTTGTTCCAGATTTCAGTGGTGTCCTGGGCAGATGTGGTTTTTGTCTAGATTTCTCCCTTTGGGGAAATGCTTTGAATCCATCACATACAGTTTGGATGGACTGTCAATCACAACAGGTAACCCCACCTCTGTCTGTGCGGACATGGTCCAGGACTAGCCAGTCCTGGCAACAGTGATTGGCTCAAGAGGTAGGCATGGAATTCAAGAAAGGCCCATAAGCATTGTTCTTTAGGTTTAATATATGGATAATGGCAAAGTTGTCCCCTGAAGATGTAAAGCTGGAAAATGAGTCTGGGTTTATCAGTTGCCATTGTCCCCATACTGTGTGGGTGAATAAAGAAGCTTGCTGGAGAAGGAAGTCTAATAGAGATGAGGTAGGAAGAGAAGAAAATCTAGGGAGGAGAGAAAGGAAGAGAGAGGGGAGACTGAGAGAGAGAGAGAGGCAGAGAGAGAGAGAGAGAAGAGAGAAACAGAGAGGGGGATACAGAGACAGACTCAGAGAGAGAGAAGAGAGACAGAGAAACTGAGACAGAAAGGAGACATGCTAGGTGTGGTGGCTCACACCTGTAATCCCAGTACTTGGGAGGCCGAGGAGTGAGAATCTCTTGAACCTGGGAGGTGGGGGTTGCAGTGAGCTGAGATTGCATTACTGCCCTCCAGCCTGGGCTACAGAGTGAAACTCCATCTCGAAAAAAAAAGACAGAGATGGGGTGGGGAGAGAGAGAGAGAATGCGGAGAGACAGAGACTGATAAAGGAGAGAGATGGAGGTGGGGGAGAGAGACAGTGAGAGAGGGAGAGGACAGAGAGAGGGTTCTGGCAATGCTATGCCGAGTTCCAGGCCTCCCGACTGTGATACCTCAGTCTTGTGAGCTCTCCCTGCAGTCTCTTAGGGTTAAGCCCTTTGGAGCTGGGTTTGTGTCCCTTGCAACAGGAGGCATCTTGAGTAGGACGGAAGGTTTCTTGCTGACCTCATGGGAGGGCGGACATGCGGGGTATGCACTGGAGAGTGAGGCAGGCGTGGTCAAAGAGCTTGTGCGGCAGCTGCCCCTGGGATGTCCAGGTGTCCGTCTCGGGGTCGTAGCAGTCAAAGGAGGCGGAGTCCTCAATGTTGCAGTCCGTGGTCAGGCGCCGCCCGCCCGTCACGTAGAGCTTGTTTCCCATCACTGTGGCCCCGTGGTGCATCCTCCGGTCTTTCATGTCCGCACATTTTACAAATTTGTTGGTTTGAGGGTCATAAGCAAGAATCCTCCTTGTGTAACCTGAAAACCAAATGACATATGGTCAGGCTCAGCCTTGCTCATCTGCGACCAGAGGTCAGCAGTCCTGGAATGCGTCTGACCCCTGCCACTGCCAAAGGCTGAGGCCAGGGCTCTGAACTAGAGCATGGGGAGTTGAGCTAGACTGCCAAGGCCTGCTTCGTGGCAGAGTGGGGCTGCCACACAGATCTGTCTGATTCTGACCTTCACCCCAAGTTAAGGCAGCGCATAAGCCATTCTTAGATTGGGAGCGGCTTCCTGATTCCTGTAACTTTCTCAGCCTCATTGGCAACTTCCTCTCTCAAATGCCCACTCAAGAACTATGACAATCCCAAGACTTTGGAAACTCAGAAGTGGGTTCCTTATGACAGCCTTATCTGGTAGGCACTTTTAGGAGCCTTATTTTATGGATGAGCAAACTGAGGCACAGAAAGATGTTTAACTTGCTAAACAGTATATAGGCAGTTAGTGACAGAGCCAGGATTTGAACCTGGTCTATCTGACCCCAATAGCAGTCCTCTTAACCGTGACACTATACTATGATTACAGAGAAACAAACCATTAGTAGCTGGTATTATTGACGGAAGCAAACATGTTTTATTTACTGTGTGTCCGGGATAGTGCTAAGTGCTTTAGATACGCGAGTACATTAATCATCACAATAGCTCTGTGTGATAGGTATTATTTCATCCATTGTTTACAGATAAAGACAGAAACTTCTGGATGAGGAAGGAGTTTTGTTAGATTCTCCACGCTCCTCTGGTTGGTTGGATGTACTTTTAAAGACAATCTTGTAGAATAACATCTGTCTATGAGTGGCCTTTTTTCCATAGACGGTGCCAAGTTTGTGTCACACCCAGTGATCCCCTGTTCAGACTCACCTCCCACAATGACAATCCGCTCCCCAAGCACCACTGCAGGGGCACACACATTCTTGATCATTCTTGTCTCCATTTTGAACCATGAGTTTCTGGAAATGTGATAGACCTGAGGGAGAAACAGAATTATGGCACTGCATTTTAAAGTTAAATATTCTTTAAAAAAAGGCAGAAGTAATCATTTAGAGGGTGAACTAGGAGTGAGATTTTTCTTTCTAGTTTTCTCCAGTTTTAAAAATGCAGCTATATTATTGTTAATAAAAAAGAATTGAAAAACAGGAAGAAGTGTATTATTAAAAATTGATCTTAATGTGACCCCAGGAGATCAGTGGCTGTATTTCTATAGAATAGACCAAGAGTTTGGCATTATAATATATGTTTTACTTACCTTGCTTGGAACATGTTTTTCTTTTAATGAGAAATGAGGAGACTTGGGTATTCAGAAAACCAATGATTTTCCAATCATTTTTTATTTCTAGCTCATGTTTAAATTTCTAAACGTTCTGGTTTATCCAAGAAGGTCATAGAGCCAAGAATAAATCTGAGGCTAAGTGAGGAAGGCTTTTGAACAGTTCATGCCTGAAAGTCATTACAGTCCTAGAAAAATGCAGCATGAGAAAGGGGAGAAGGACCAAAGAGAAGGAAGCAGGCTGTTTTACCATGTTCTGAAACGGTGGATCAAATCAACATTCCTGAAACGTGTTCTCTTGTTAGTGTCCTCAGTTTAAATCTAAATATCAAATGTAAATTAGTTCATTATAGGCAAAATTTAGCTCAAGAGATATAGGATGAATTTCATATAAGAAGAGAAGGAACAAGAACATTTGTTTACAGAGGAAAAAGGCATAGTATTCTTTGCTAGAAAGTATTTTCCTATAAAATAGAATTACCAGGGCAGGCACAGTGGCTCACACTTTTAACCCAGCGCTTTGGGAGGTTGAGGTGGGTGGATCACGGAGGTCAGGAGTTTGAGACCAGTCTGGCCAACATGGTAAAACCCCATCTCTACTAAAAATACAAAAAAATTTGCTGGGTGTGGTGGCACATGCCTGTAATTACAGCTACTCAGGAGGCTGAGGTGGGAGGATCACTTGAGCCCTGGAAGTGGAGGTTGCAGTGAGTTGAGATCACACCACTGCACTCCAGCCTGAATGACAGAGCGAGACGCCTTCTCAAAAGATAAAATAAAATAAAATAAGATTACCAGTATTATTAAAAATGTTAAAAAAATCAGTTTACTAAATTTGATCTTCATAACCATCCAATGAGGTAGGTATTATTATTGCTTCCATCTTTCAGATTAGACCACTGAGTCTCAGAGAGGTCAAATGACATGCCCAGGGTCATACAACTACAGTGAGCTGGGGAGCTGGTCTGGTCAAGCCCAGAGTCCATGCTCTTAACCACCACACTCATGGCTCTGCCTGGAGCCAGAAATTGTGGCTTTTCCTGATGGAAGCTTTTGAGATTAGAGACCTCTTGAGGTCTCTGTCTGTCCTTCAAGAAGTCAGCCAAGCCTAGGGGAGGCCAAGTACTAGAGGAAGGGAGGGTCACAATGGCTGTTTTATCTGAAAATACGTAAGTGACAAACTCTCTGGGATCCTTGGAAGGAAAGCAAACACTGGTTGCATTTTACTTGAATGAATAATCGCCTCCTGGCCCTTCTGTTCTTCAGCTTTGGGTATGGCTTTAAAAATAGATTAAACGTTTGCTCACCATGCTCATCATTCCCCAAAGAAGCTGGGGCAAGCACAACAAAGGATGCTTTTTGACCAGTGACGGAAGAAATACTTTGTTATGGTAAAGGATTTGCTTAATGCCATCCAGAAACAGGTAGAGAGAAGGCCAGGTAAAAATGTACACATACAGCACGATTTGCATGGTAACTCCATTGCAGCATAGTTCTGAAAAGAACTCATACATGCCGATGAACAAGCCTATGAAGAAAACTCTTAACCTGTGCCTGAAAACCCAACCTGCTCCATCAAGCAGCTCCAGGCATTCATTTTAAACTATATTCGAATGAGTAGACTGTCTATTTCAAAGCTAGTGCGAAGTAGATAAGAAAAGCATCCAAATGAATGCTTTTTCTCTTCTCGCTCTTCTTCATCCTGCAATGCAAAAGGATCCCTCAGAGGTTTCGTATTTTCTTGGCTTGGCAACTTCCTGTTTGATTGTACTATACATTTCTTGATATGTGAGCTTGAAGCTTAAGCTTCGCGTTTTATTCTCAGGTTGGTGGCAGTCTTGCAATGTGAAATAATGAGCATATTTGTTGTCTGTATTTTGAAAAATAGAAAAGAGGGCGGGGCTCCAGCTTGACACGGAGGCAGTTTGTTATCTGTATGGTGTGGTCAGAGACTTGAGGGGAGCAGAAGGTCTCTCCCAGTTCAAGTAGAGGAGTGGGATTTGGAATAGTGATTCTAGAAAGACTCAGAATCTGCCTAGGTGGTCAGGGAGGAACTGAAAATACAGGCTGGAGAAGTGAAGGCAACGAAAATATCTTTACTGGAACTGACCGGGTCCAAGCCATCTCCACTCTTGCCTGGAACTCCAGAAGATTCCCCCAGTTCTCCCCTTCATCCACTCAGGCCCCCTCCAATCCCTTCCCTACAAGGCATCCAGATGTAACTTCTAAAAATGTGAATTTTATTGCCTCATCCACCTTTCTTAAAAGCCTTCAATGAAGTTCTATTCCTTTAAGACTATTGAATACAAAGAGGTCTACATTTCTCTTCAAAGAATCAGTATGTCAGTATGTTCAGTCATTTGTCCTCCATTTTAAAGTTCAACTTCCTTGTAGTTTCAGTAAACAACCTTCTCCACCAGTTCTTATCAGTAGTTCACATCTGTTCCTCCGGTCCCCGGCTCCGTCCTGACTCATCCAGGTCACCTTCTTTGGTCACCTGCCCTGGTCACCTGCTCCAGTCACCTGCTCTGGTTACCTGCTTTGACCTAGGTCAGCCCTGGCTACCTGCTCTGATCTGCCCGTAACCATCCTTCCCGCCAAGCCACCCACCCTGCCACTTCTGGCTTGTACCCCTGCTCTCTTTAAAACAGACAATTAGCCTAGACTGTGCAGTCTAACCCTAGCCAATAGGGGAATGACACAGCAGTAGGGGAAACCTCCGTCCGGAATAAGAACCCCTTTTCCTCCCTTGCCCAAGTGTGTGCTCACCTTTGCTCCATCTGTGAGGCACACCCTTCTATAGAAGTAAACTGCCTTGCTGAGAGGTTTTATCTTCAAGTGCTGTTTCTTTCAGCAATAAAATTTTACTTATAACAAGGCTAATCCCAATTTCTTGACAAGGCCTAGAAAGCCCAGCCAGGCCAGCCTCACCCCCACAAATATCCATCCCTCAAGAAGGTTCCAGGATTTTTCTGGGAGGGGCTCAGGGGCTGCAATGTGAGTGGAGGAGATTGCTCCAGGTAGCCTGAGAAGGGGGCTGATGGAGATCACACAAGGACTCACGCCTGCCCCCAGCTACCCCTCAGCACACTGCCCTTCTCCTCTTTGCTCTGTCTTGCAGCTTCATTGTCCTGCTTTCAGCTCCCCAAGGCCGTGGGGTGCACCTCTTTGTGCTTCAGGGCCTTTGTAAGAGCTGCTCCCTTACCCAGGACCACTCCTCCTCCCTCAAGAGAGAATTCTGACTCTGGCTTCGGGTGACACAGGAGCTTCCTGCATCTCTCTCCAAGTCAGATCATCCCTTACATTCTTTCCTAGCACCAACCCCACTCCCTCCTCCCTCTTTTATTCTCCATCCTTACCTTCTTCTCTCCTTTCCTGCCTCTCTGCTCAAGACAGCTTCAGCCAACTTCACGGGGTTTGCTGCAACATTCCCTGGACCTGGCACTCTTTCTGATTCTCTCTAGACCAGCAGTGTCCAATCTTTTGTCTTCCCTGGGCCACACATGAAGCACACTAACACTGACGATGGCTGATGAGCTAAAAAAAAATCTCTTAATGTTAAAGCTTATGAATTTGTGTTGGGCCGCATTCAAATCCATCTTAGGCTGCATGTGTGTTGGGAAAACTTGCTCTACGCTAGTTTAGGGCACCCCCACTGTGCTCTTAGAGCACCCCTCTCTTCAGCATCTGAATTGCAACTGAGGGTTACGTGTAAATTGCTGGGTCTCCAGGCCCTTCACAGTGGTTGTTGTTCAACATAACTCTCCTAAATGAGCAAAGTACATCTCGTGGATGCTTCTTCATTATCTGTAGGCAGACTCAGTATTCACGTTCCCCATATCATTAGATGAACTGCAGAGATTACCAGGAACTTGCACAGAGTTAGAAAACACTTAATATTCTGACACGTGGCCTTTATTGATCATACTTCTCAGAGAGCTTGTCAGTGAAATTAATGTCTGCCGATCATTAAAAGTAGGGGTTTCCCAAGCCGGCTGCACCTTAGAATCTCCTGGGGACTTTTATAAACCATACAATTTAGGATCTCACACAAAGATATTTTGATTCAGTGATCTCAGGTCAGGTTCCAGGGGCTTTGGTCACAGAGGTGTGGACCAAGGCTTGGGAATCTTCTTTTAAGGCCTTACGGACTTGAGTTACAAATATCTGCCAGATTCCTATAGGACTTCACTATCTGACATTTAGCATGTTCTACAATAGCTTGAATTTTTAGTTAAAAAGTTTTTACTCAAATGAAGATAAACTCTGTGGATAGGGGTGGTATTTGTATGTATTATTCTTGCACAAAAATAATTTATAAATTGAAAAAATCTTTCTGAAAATTATTATTCCCTCTCTCCCTTTCTCTTTCTTCCTTGCAAATGACAAGTGTTTGTATGTGTATACATGGGTACACACGTGTGTGCATGTTTTCGTGTATGCATATATTGTGTTCATGCATATGTATAAATGTGTGCATGTATGTGTGGATATATGTAAATGTGTGTATGCATGCATGAATTGTATATGTGTATGCATGTGCATATGTATGCATGTTGGTAGGTGCGCCTATGCATACATATGAATGAATATACATTTGTGCACATATGTATGTGTGCATGCATGTATGCAAATGTGCATTTGTGTATATGTATGCATATATGTATGTGTGTGCATATGTATGTGCGTTGGTGAATATGTAAGCATGTGCATGTGTGTGCGTGCAGATGTGGGCGTGTCCATGCACACATACTCATGCACTTATGTGATGGGAAAAACAGGCCATTTACCTGGATAAGGCGCACAGGGTTCTGCATGATGTCCTCTCCTCCAAAGAGGTAGAGTCTTTGGTCTTTCACGGCAACTGCAGGGTGGAGCACACCCACGGGCATGCTGGCCATACTCTCCCAGGCATTGCAAATGCTGTCATACCTTTCCATGGAGCCCATGAGCTCCTGTCCTTCTCCAGTCCCCCCGATGGAGAAGATGAAGTTCTTATGGGCGGTACTTCTGTGGGAGTAGCGGGCCACCAGCATGGGCTCCCCCAGCCTCCACTGATTGAGTTTCAGGGAGTAGATGTAGACGTTGTGACTGACCAGACTCCTCCCTGAGCTGACAGCCATGCCCCCCAGCACGTAGATGCTCCGGTGCAAGGTGACGGCAGAGGCCTTGTACAGCCGGGTCGGGAGTTTAGCAAGGCTCTGCCATTGGCCGGTCTGTTTGCTGTATAGTAAGACGTCCCTGGTGGTCTGCTGGCTGTCCTTCCTTCCACCCAAAAGGATGAGGAAATCTTGGTAAGAGCTTCTCGGAGGGACATGCAACAGGAGTTTGCAGTCTGGGGCACTGGTGCCACACAAAGAGAACATCTGTCTCTTGGCCGTCTCCAAGATGATCTGGCATGCAGGTGATGACTGCAGGAGGGCATCATTGGCGATGAAGTGGTAGAAGAAGGCCGGGTGGATGTACTGCAGCCTGACCTGCTTGAACAGTTCCTGCATGTACCGCTTCCGGGCCTGGAGGTCATGCTTAATCCAAACCATGAGAGCCTCAAACACCTTTTCCTCCTCCCCACAGAGCCCATCATCTCCGAGATAGTCTCTCAACTCCAAAGCACAGAGCTCCTTCAGGTCAGCTGACGTGGCCACCTCTGGGAAGGACGTCAGTGCCACTTCCCTGGCTTTCTTCTTGAGGGTCTCGCAGCTTAAGATTTCTGAGAGTCTGATCATGCCCAGGCAGTTGCTGGGGGCCAGCTGCCTTTGCAAGTATGAGGAGCAGGCCTCAAACAGCTTTGGGAACTGTAGCATGGAGGCAGCCTCCATCACGGGGAGCACATTGTCCGCGGTGATGCGCACTTCCCCTGTGTACACGTAGGAGACAATTTGGTCCAGGGTTGGGGAGTCAATGCCTTTCAGCTGCACTTTGGCTTCATTCTTCTCCCGGAAGCTGCTGCAGAACATAGCCCTGAAGTAGGGGCTGCTGGAGGCCAGCACGTTGCGGTGGCAGGGGATCTCCCAGGCACCGGCACAGATGCTCACATCAGTCAGAATCCTGCTTTGCCTTAAGCTGTTGAGTTGCCTCAACAAGTCAGAAGAGAAGTCATGGTCTTTGAAGAGCAGCCCATCTGGTGACTCCTTGTCCATCCTACAAAGAGAGAAGGAAGCCTCCAGAGTCAGCAAGAGTCAAGACTTTCTTAGCAGCATGTGCTGGAGGGTTCAGCTGCAGGTGTTCCAAGACCTGGTGCTTCTGTGTCCATTCCCCATGATGTTTGTAAATGTCACCATGAACATTGTGTAGGGAAGGCTGGAAAGGAAGGCTACACATATCTCATACCTGAGCTCTTTTTGGTTATTTTCCATGGTTATTTTCAAAGGTAATGGGCAAATAGTATCTTCAGCTAATCTGAGAGAAACAACCAAACAAACTAAAGTTGTTGGAAGTTACTCCATTATCAGAAGCTGAAATGCTAGTCTGAAGCAAGATAACGGTCCATACATTTGAACAGCAGAAATTTGTGAGCATTTTTCCCATGAAAATATCCTTTCTCCTATTGGCAGCATATCTATTATTGAGTAAGCTTGTCTAAACATCTCTTTCTCGGTGTCAATCATTCCCCAAGGATGACACTCTGGAGGTGTGGCCCTCTGTTAACTGGACAGAAATGAGGGAAGAAAATGCACCTTTGATATATATATATATATATATTTAACTATGACTTCATCGAGTCTTGTTTTAAAGATGGAATGAATAGAGAGAGAGACCAAACAATCCCCTGGTTTATTGGATGACACCTGGCTGTCTACCTGCAGAAGAAAGAAGCATGAGGGATACTTACCTTGTTTTGCTGCAGTGACATCCACTGATGCCTGGTCTGGCTTGTCTCCCCAGAGAGTTTCTACCTCTAGCTCCGAGAGAAACCATAAACCCCAAGCCTTTCCTTCAGTTGGCAAATGATTTGTCCTGGGAGGTTTCTGGATTTGTTTATGCTGAAGGCACTTTCATAGTTTTCTAGAGCTTTGTGCAAGGACTGCTGGGCAGGGAGACAGTGTATACATTCCAGGGCTAAGAATAGTTGCATATGTACTTTCCACTGTTATGACATGTGACTTTCCAGTTGCCTTTTGCAGCAACCTGAGGGCCTGCAGGTCCCGCGCATGCCTGCATGCCTTGTTTCCTTGGCAAGTGTTTACATCGGCAAAAATAGATTGGGAGGAGTGGCTTCTCTTAGAGAAGGCTTTGCTGCCTGCTTGGAACCATCCCGGGTCCCCTGTCCTAAAAGCGCCTGGGAATTCAAGCTGTCTGTAAACAGGTTGCTGTGACTTGTGGAGAGTTACTGAAGATGGTTCTTAGCCACATTGAAGGTGGCAGGTGGTCACAAGGGAAGCCAGAACACGAGCCTGTGGGTGCTACTCAATGGATCTCTATTTCCCACCATCTGCCTGGAAGGATCGCTGGGGAGAGCTGTGATTTCCTCCTCCGGGATCCTAGGTGACGAAATCCATGACAACAGTTGCTTTTTTGTTGAGCACCCCAGGGTTTCCAGACTCAAGAAGGCCCAAACCTTTGTTGGGTCTCCTTACTCAGGAGCCTCTGATTGACAGTGGCAAGGCCAAGCTCCCCCTGTCATGTCTGCCTCTACCAGACACGTGCTGATTGCTCTTCAGCTGGCTTTTTATAGTTCAGACTTCCTTTTCTGTCTTACTTTTCCATTTTGTCTTGTCTGGCAGCCTGAGCTAGAGGCAGGAGGCAAGGCATATTGCTCTTAGGGAGAGAGAGAAAGAAGATGAAGGATGGTGAAGAGAAGGAAGAAGCAGGGATGGGGGTCGGGGGCAGAGAGAGAAAGAAGAGACGGAGGAAAAGGAGGAAGAGGAGAAAGAGAAGGAAGAGGTAGAGGATCAGGGGAGAAATGATGATAGTTATGTGGTAGGAGGCAGCTTTCAATGATAAGAATCAGAATCACGAGAAAGCCAGAGGGACCTCAGGTCTGTCCTGCCCCTGCTTTCGGGGAGGTCCGTGGTTGTACCAGCCACAAAAGGCAGGGAAGCCTGACTTTGTCTCCTACTCAAGTCTTGCTGAGACTAATACAATGGCCTTCTATGCATTTTTTTTTCTTTGCTTATAGTGCTTCTCTCTCTCCAACACAACCACTCTGTTCCCTCTGGAGCAGCCCCTGGGAAGGCACCTCAGAATTTGCCAGTCCCCAGCATCAGGCCCTTCAGTGGCTCCCCATGCCTGCTGGACTTTTTAGCTGGAACCGGATTGGTGTCCTGTCTGCTTCTGGAACCACGTCTACTGCCACTCATGTGATAGTCTAGCTCCATGAGACATAATCCTTGTATGACCCTTGCATGCAACTGGTTGCTGTTGGGGAAGCTGGTCTGGCCTGGCCTTTGAGACACCACAGGGCAGGGTGGAAGGAAGAGTGTCTCTCATTCACAAAACAGTCCAGAAGGTCAAGGCCAGGGAAGTGGATCCAAAACATGTTACTGGGGCCAAGGGCCTGGAGGCCAGAATTAGGAGTGGAAGGCCTAAGCCAAGGGGGTCAGAGACCCATGGAGGTGCACGCAAGGAGCAGGTGAGAGGAGCTGTTCCTACAGATGTCCAAGCTGGTGAGCTGTGCGGGTGACATAACAAATGAGTAGCCAAATTCCTTCAAGAGCCCAGGGAGCCTCTGGTTTGAACTCTGTCCCTTTCTATGTGCTCTTCTCCTCGCTCGCTCTATCATTTTCACTGTTCCTATTCATCCTCCAGATCTTGGTTTGTGTATCACTTCTTGGCAAGTCTTTTTACCCCCCCAAAAAAATTAATTTCCACCCCCCCCGTACTTTTTCCATTCCCTATGTACCCCTAATGGTGTGCCTCATACCTCACTCCGATTATGTTAACTTGCCTGTGTGTCTCTTATTAGAGGGGAAGTCTCTGGGCAGCAGGAATCTTGACTCTCTATTCCTTGTCTCTGTATTCCTAGCAGCCAGCACAGGGCCTGGCTTATAGGGTGTGCATTATTTACAGTTCCTGCATTGAGCTGGAACAGAATGGGGAATGGGGAAAGAAAGGGAGCTTTGCTGGGTGGACCTCACACCACTCTCTGCCTGTGGTGGTTTAGCAGAGCTGCCATGTGCGGCTTGCCGTGTAGACTGCCCTGCAAATGTGCTCTGGAGCGGCCCTGGGTGTCCCTCATTTTAATCATGTGATGAAGTGAAAAGTAAAACACTTGTTTTATAATGCAGAGCAAGACTTAAGTTCAGGCTGGGAACTGAACTGAGGCCCTCCCAACTCCAAAGCTAGCATTCTTGTCCTTGACTGCGGAGTGAACATGAGGAAGAAATAACTTCCTTCTTGCTCTGAAACGCCTGCATTATTTCTCGTCCAGGCAGTGAGCGAGCCAAGGGTTTGTTCTGAGGGTAATAGGTAGGGACTCCTAGGAGTGAATGAACACAGCCCTATTCCCTGGGAAGAATCTTGGATTTTCCCCTACATCCGCTTACTAATTAGACCTTCTGCAGTCCAGCCCTGTCAAATGTTCAGATGGATCTCAGTGTGCAGCATCAATATCTGACCAACTTTACTAAATCTTTTGGTTTCTAATGTTTAGAAGAAATAGGCCCTGTTTTGTTGGCCTGGCCTTCTAGGAGGATCCTGGTTCTACATCAAATGTCAAATGTCATGACACAGAGACTTGGTGTTCAACACGGCAAACATACACATATACGCCCAAGCCCGACCCCAAAAACATCTCTACCACCCACATGTAACCCAACCAGCCCATTCATGAATTGATTTATCTCAGAGAGGATTATACTTTTTGCCTTAACTTTCAGAAGATGTCTTAGTCTAGGGCCTGAATGTATAGCCACCTAAAAGAAGTGAGATCAATGAGGACATTCACCTCATTGTCCCTCCTTTTTTTTTTTTCTTCTGAGACAGGTCTCACTCTGTGGCCCAAGCTGGGGTGCAGTGGCACGATCGTGGCTTACTGTAGCCTCCAACTCCGAGGCTTGAGTGACCCTACCACCTCAGCCTCCTGAGAAGCTGGGACTACGGGCATGAGCCATCACATCCATTTATTTTTTGTATTTTTTGTAGAGACGGGGTTTTTCTGTGTTGCCCAGGCTGGTTTCAAACTGCTGGGCTCAAGAGATTCACCCACCTTGGCCTCCCAAAGTGCCGGGATTACAGGCATGAACCATGGTTCTCCTTTTGAAGAAAGTCAGTGTCATAACAAGTCAAGGCCTGAACTTTGGGGGCAGAAGGGCTGGGGATAATCTTGGCATTTCCCCTTAGTATTCATGTTGTCTTGGGTAAGTTACTTATATTCTTCCAACCTTAGTTTCTCCATCTGTTAAATGAGGATAACCATCCTTGTCACAGCAAAATAATGTATGTGCAGTATGCAGTAAAGTGCCTGGCATAGTGTATATTCACAATAAAGTATGGTCAGTATTACATTATTACTCTAAAATTAATCTCATTAGATTCCAGTGGGTCTTGGTGCCTGGTTTTCCATGTCTCAGTTGGTCCCCTGTGCATTCTAGCATTTTCCTTTTCCTTGAGCAATTGCTGTGATCCTCTGATCTACTTAGCCTCCAGGGGTCCTGGGTTTCAGTCTGGGCTCTGCTATGGACTGGCTGTGCATCTTTGGATGAGTCACTTAACCTCTCTGCACTTATTTCCTCACCTGGCCCTTCCAACTCACCTTCCTGTGGTTTGTACTCTGAGGTGTTCTCTGCAATCTGTGGTCTAGAACAGAGACTGGGAGAAGCTGAGACAGGGATGAGGGCTCTTCAGAGCTTCCTCCCGGCTCTTGCCTGGAGCCAGGTGCAGAGAAGAAACCCAAGTTGAGCTGCCAGCAGGTGCTCTTGATGAGTTTGCCCTTGTGTGTCAATCGGGAAAACTTTCATTTTCCTCCTGGAGTTTTGGATTGCCATGGCAGGCACTTTGACTTAAGAGACCTTGGTTTCTTTCCTGTCTGAGCGTGTGGGGTCTGGGTCCCCAAGGAAATGGCAGGCTGGTTCCTGTCAGCATCAGTTTTGACAATGACAGCTGGGAAGCCACAAAGCACTCTCTGCCACACCCCTACCCTCGGTCCTCTCAACCCACTGGGCTGTGCTCCCCACCTGCCCCTTCTGGGAAAAGTCCCCTCACTCTGATTAGGAACCATACATGTGGTAAGTGCTGGGTTTCACAGATGGACAAACATGCACATAAAGGCTCTTGCAGTGCTGTGGTCTCCCTGGAAGGCTGTCTCCTACGAGCATCAGAGAATCTACTTTTCCCACAGGTGGAGGAGAAGCATGAGGAGCTGACAGGTAAGGTTGCAGTTAACTGAATCATCAAAAACTGTAGGAAGGAACTTGCATCTTGACATAAGATTTTAAAGGTTTTTAAATATACATGAGAGCCTGTCTATCTGTGTCTCTATCTATCTGGCTAGGTGTGTTCTCTCAGCAGCCTGTGAAACCTGAACAAGGACTTTGTACTCCAGGCAAAGGCTGAAAGGGGGCCTGCTCCTTGAGTCCAGGGGTTGCTATGACGACTGCTCTCCAGAAGCAAAAATTTGAAGGCTACTCTTACTAGGCCAGTAGTGCAAATGACTGCATTCCCGACTCTTCCTCCACCCTGCTCCATCACCAGAAAATATCTTCATATTTTTTTTTCCCTAGGGAGAATAAGGGGGAAAAAAAGGACAACAGAGATGACGTCAGGATGGCTAGCAGATTGTTGGTATAACCCGGCTGTCTGCCCCCCTCTTTCTTCCTGCAAACTAAAGTCTGACCTCATCCATCATTTATGCCACAGATCAGCTTTCTGGGCTCTCAATCAAACTGGAAAGAGAGAAAGAACAGGACCAAAGAGGTTTCTTACTCTCCTGTTTTAGCACTGTGAGTCACAAAGAATAATACACTGTTGCGGCCTCTCTGCTTCCCAGGACCAGGCGTTCCCTCTTGGTGAGATAGGCATTTAGACAAAAACATTGCCTCCCCCTGACCATGCAGGAATGATTTGGCAATTTGCTGCCAAATTGTGGGATAGAAGGTAGGAGGCTTACAGGGGGAGGGCTCACT